AGTGGCGACTCTAAAATAAATAAATAAATCCCGTTTCGATTGTCCTTTAATCGGAAAAAACTCTCTTGTACCCTCGCGGGGGCGGAAAAAGGAGGTGTGACAATTATTCGAATTCAAACTGATGTACATAATGAACTGAAATCTCTTCTATTTATAGAAGAAAGGAAGGTGCTGTGTAAGCTGCTACTATACTAGATATGGATAATCTTCTACTGAGAGCAATGTTTATCCATAACGGAGTACTGAAAGGATAAGCTTATTATACCTGATATGGATAATCTTCTATCGGGGGTAATGTTTATCCATAACTGAGTACTGAAAGGATAAGCTTATTATACCCGGTATGGATAATCTTCTACCGGTGGTAATGTTTATCCATAACCGGGTATCGAAGTGATAAGCTTCTTCAGAAAGCTCATTTCCAATAGAGTACTTAAATAGATAAACATATTTACGGTGGAGTCCCATATGGATAAGCTTCTTCAGGAAGCTTATTTACAACGGAGTACTAAATGAACATCCATAATATAATATATTTATAACAATTAGAAAAAAGACGGGGAACATTTTAAATGGAAAAAGAAAAAAAGGAAACCAAATGGGATCGGATCCCAGGTCTAAACGGGTCAACCAGCCAAAACCCCAAATGTATCCAAAATTCTTCAAACCATTGATTTAAGTTTTAACACACGTTGAAGCTCTTCTAATGGCGGAATTGCTCTTCAAATATCCCCAGTACTAATATCAGCGGTAACGCTCATTAGCAAGAGGCCCATTATTAATGGTTCGATTAAGATCAATTTTGCTATTTATTCTGCTCTTTAAGAGCTTCGGGTCAATTATTATTGCCGAACAAAGTGAAGAAGAGTTCTCAGAAGCACTGTTGTTGAGGCCATTACCAGATCGTAAAGTGTTGGCGCATTTTCACTTCGAAAGTAAAATCCCTCCAACTCGCACTCATGGACCCCACCACAGTCTCTTCCCCAAATCCATTTATCAGCTGGTACACTTTCAATTTGGGCTTCTTATTATCTCAATGAATATTTTTTGATTTTATTTAGTTTCGTATTAGCATTTTTTTTTAGCTCTGTATATGGTAGGGGACGAGGTGGAAAAATCATATGCAATTAGATAGAATGCTAACATAGCACAATGAAAGTAAAGTGTCTATATAGGAATACTAACTAGTCGAGATTAAGGCGTAGTTGTTATCGTTACATTTGCATTAGTTCTCACATTTGTCAGTTTTGTTTAGTTCTAAGTAAGCCATGCGGAGATAAGCGTGAGATTTAACAACTTTTAACTTTAAGGAAGCCTTAATTTACCTTGAAAGACCAAATATTTTAGTATTAGAATGAAAACGGGACCAAATAGAGCTGAATGGGTACAGAGGATTCACATGGCCAGTCCCAATTAGTTAGGATTGAGGCGTAATTAATTAATTGATATTCTAGAAGAGTCGCATATGTAGACAATTAATATGGAAGATGGGTACCCTTCCTTAAGGGATATGATAACAAGTAATCGGATGAAATCTGACACCAAGGAAACATGCAATTCGTGTTTTATTCCTTTTTTATTCTGGAAAGTTGTAAGTGCTGAAGTGAGGTGAGTTTGGACTGAATTATGCGTGCATGAGTAAATTGAGCAGTTGATTCATAAAAATATAATACTCAATTGTGTGATTAGGTTCATAAATTTAGAGTTCGAGAAATGGAGCTGTCCTTCACACAAGGTCGCTGGAATTATGGACGCTGGGGTGGATACGACCCCATTTCAAGTAGAAATGCGAAGCCACCTGGAGTTGAACTGTGGGCTAGTTTTGATGTTCCACAACATCAGGTCGACGCTTCTTGGAGAAATTTAACCCATGCTCTTTCAGGGCTCTTTTGTGCTTCTATTAACTTCCTAGAGTCATCAACTGCATATTCTGCTCCTCGGTGGAGCTTCAAGTCATTTACCACAAATGTCAGGTACGGCACATTGCCCCGTGAGGCTGTTTGCACAGAGAACCTCACTCCATGGCTAAAGTTGCTTCCTTGCCGAGACAAAGCTGGGCTTTCTGCATTGATGGACAGACCTTCTATCTACAGAGGATTTTATCACTCTCAGAGATTGCATTTGGTCTCGAATGAATTTGATCTAGCTGAAGCAATTTCCGGAATGGTGCTTGAACAGACACTTACCGTTGTTCTTCAACCGGTTACTTTAGGAAGTGGCATGACATTTGGCTCAATACGACAGCCAAGTTGGTCATTGAGCTCGTTGTTTGGACGAAAAGTTAGTGGAAGGTGTATTCTTTCAAATACTAGTAACGTGTATGTCCAATTAGAGCCGAATTTGGTGTCAGAATTGAAGAGTACTTCAGCTATGCAACAAGAATCTGATGTTAAGAATTTGGTATCTCAAGCTTGGAGAGATATGAGCTTTGAAATGTCTGATTCCCCAGTTAGGGTAATTAAAGAAGTTTATGGCTTTCACAAGGAGTCATCCCTTCTATATGAATATTCTCTAGCAAATAGCAGTGATTCAAGGCCATTTGACTTGGAGTTCAGGTGGAAGCATCCCGTGACATGGTCATCTCAACTGGCACCTTTGCAGGCTAGCAGGTTCCTTATGGGAAGTGGGAATGAAAGGGGTGCAATAGCCATCTCCTTGAAATCTGTAGGAAGAAGTGAGTATACGGATTCTTCTGATGATGAGGACGGAAGATGCTCGTTACGGGTTGATGTGTTCCAAGTTGTGCCTTGGTATGTCAAGGTTTATTACCACACACTCAAAGTGTATCTTGATGAACGTCTGCATAGTTTAGCAGATGTCATAGAAAGGACAAATGTCTCGCCTTCTGAAGACAAGGTTTCTCCTGGGCTAATGGAAATAGCATTGCGATTACCCTGTGATGTGAACTCGGTGATATTGACATTGGAGTTTGATAAGGTATGTATTGCCTTTTCCAGTTTATCTAGAATAAATTTGCTGATATGTAATTTTTAGTGTACTAAAGAACAATGGTCAGCTAGGATGGCTATCTAATTATCTCTCTCTCTCTATCTCTCTCTCTCTCTCTCTCTATATATATATATATATATATATATATTATTTTCTTGATAAGGAGCTATCTAATCATCTCATTTTGGGAGTTATTGATAGGAGATTGGTAATTATAGAGTATAAACATAACTCGTTTGGAGTTTCTGTATAGAAAATTTGTAAGTATAGACATAATTCAGGCTTCACATGAATATTTGTACTTGGAGTAAAGACAAAATACCTTATAAGTTGATTTGATGTCAGATGCTGTGCAGCCTTTCTGTAGTCTTAAATTTTTAAACTACTTTTTGTCTGCTTGTATGATTATCTTGTAAAGCTGTTTGGGCCAGGGATGGTTATTTGTAAACCGATACGGTGATATTTCCAATTTCTTGTTCTATATCTCTGTGGAATTGACCGAGGTATCTGTGAGGCCTAGATTATTTTGAATCTAATGGAACAGGTAGAAAGCAAATTGATGTATATTAGCACCAGCGATCGACCGGTTTAACTTTACCTTTATTTCTTTGGATTTCTTCACAGGGTTTTCTGCACATCGATGAGTATCCTCCAGATGCTAATCAGGGTTTTGACATTCCATCAGCTTTAATCAGGTTTCCCGAGATCAAGACAAAACTGCATTTATTTGAGGATAAATCTTCTTGCAAGTCACCTCTCTTATCCAAGCTACAGGTACCAATTGGTATTGTTAAACAAGTGAAGCTCTTATGTAATATGATATTGTATTGAATATGCATCCTATTGAGCATCTGCTTCTTTCCAGGAAGAAAGCCCTGTTCTATGGTACACAGAAGTATTGCTTGTACCCTTGACCACTCCTGATTTTAGCATGCCATACAATGTCATCACAATTACATGCACTGTATTTGCTCTATATTTTGGATCACTTCTTAACGCACTACGTAGGCGTGTCGAAGAGGAGGAGAGGCTTCTGAAAAGTAAAGGTAAATTTCTCTCTGGTAATATAAGTATCATGTTGCTTTAATTCTGATAAGTAGAGTGCACACCTCACTGGGATTCTACTGGATGGTGAAAGTAGTCTTTCTCAGTTGGATTTGCATGGATGTATATTTTACTCCACTCTGTTGTTTTAATATCTTTAAAGTTTCTGGTAATGAAAGCAAAAGATACTTACCAACTTGCTACCTGATAAAAAAGGATATATTACCAATTTCCTGGAATTAAGGCTTATTGTTGTTGTTTCATTTACACCGTGCTGGTGTTTGCCAAACTTATTCTTACTCTGGTCAATATTTATATGTCAGTGTAGGGTTAAAGGGTGGGATTGGAAAATCTGTAGTCCTAGAAAATCCTTATTTTCCTTAAATGACAAACTATGTAGTACTGGAATGTATGTGGATACAACATAATGAACACAGCGCATTCACATAGCTTACCACTATTAATTTGATGTGGGAACGGGGTTGATATTGGTCAAGTTCGAGTTTCAGATATTGATCTTGATGTTTATTAGCAGCAAAATGAAATGAACAAGAAAAGAGACAAATGCTCCATATTAACTTGCACCAACTAATTTAAATGAAGTTGGTTGATATAACAATTGGGTAATAAAGTGTGTTTCAGATGTTGATGTTTTTCTCTGCCTGCTTGCAGCTACCAAGGACAGTAGTCTTATAGGCGTGCTACTGTCCAAACTATCAGCTAAATTGAGGGGAAAACCGTTGGAACCACCGAAATCGTCCGCATCATCATCATCAAAAGTCAGTTATAAGCTGATTCTCAGAGTGATACTGGTGGCGGGTATTGCTGTTGCTTGGCAGTACTTTGGATAACCTCCAAATGAAGCTACATAAGGGGTTTTGTACAATATGTTACCTGATTCCACGGACTAATTGCATAGATTTTATGAATCAACCTCAAGCTTCCTTATCTAGGATTGAGCATTGTATCATTCAATTAATTGTCAACCGCATTTGTGTACAATTAGCTCTTAGCTTTACATGTCCCTCTGAGTGATTGCTGAAGAATTTAAAACCGTAGTGCTAATGAGGCTAGGATAGGTCTACTATGTCGAGTTCCTTTTTTTCTTTTTTCTTTTTATGTCTGTTCCCGTATCTCGCATCCCCTACTTTTTTTATTATCAGGTACCGGTATCTTCAACTCTTGTAATTAGGGGTGACAAACAAGCGGGTCGGTCAGATATTGATGGGTCGAGAATGGTAACTCAAAAAACGGCTAAAATATTCGGTCCGACCCATATTGAAACAAATGGAAATTTGGTTAACCGACAGATAATATGGGTATTCATATCATCCATGACTTTTGGGAGAATTTTTAATCTTCTAAATTTGAGGCATTTTCAATTTGAGTCTTTGCAAATGTAAAAGTTAAATTAATTAGTTATCTATTTTTTAAGTGGATACTATGAATCTTATCCATATTTGATACATTTTAAAAAAAATTTATTATCCAACCCATTTCTTAATGGATAAAATGAATGGGTAATTATTTTTTAAATCTATTTTCCACCACAACTTTTAACTAAGAAATGTTTCGAAAGGTAGATTAAATAGATAAGTACCCTCTCGCTCTAGTAAATAAATTTAAACTTTTGAGAAAAAGAAGAAGATACAAACAAATATCAACAGCCCAGTGAAATTCCACAAAAGGTCTGCGGACGGTAGTGTGCACGCATTTCTTATCGGAGTAGGAAAGTTGTTTCCGATAGACCATCGGGATAATAAGATGAAACGAGACAATGTAGCAGTAACAACAAAGGAATCCAGAAAGATAACTTCAGCAACATAATAACCAGAAAATAGAGAGACAAGTAATAACACATACGCGATGGAATACTAAGGACACAACAAGAGCCACTAACATCCTAGGACAAAATACTTCCACACTATCCTCTTACAACCTAACCGACAACCCTAATGAAGTACTAAGGACACAACTAGAGCCACTAGCAGTCTAAAACAGAACACTATCAGACTAGCCTCCTATCTCCTAACCTACAACCTTAATGCTCGACCTCCACAATTTCCTATCAAGGGCCATGTCCTCGGAAATTTGCAGCCGCGCCATGTCCCGCTTGATCACCTCTCCCCAATATTTTTTGGGCCGCCCTCTTCCTCTCTTCATACCCGTCAATGTCAGCTGCTCACACCTCCTTACCGGAGCATCCAAGCTTCTCCTCTGCATGTGCCCGAACCATCTAAGCCTAGCTTCCCGCATTTTGTCTTCAATGGGAGCCACGCCCACCTTCACCCCAGATATCTTTATTCCTAATCTTATCCATCCGAGTGTGCTCGCACATCCATCTCAACATCCTCATTTCTGCAACTTTCATCTTCTGGATATGGGAATTCTTGACTAGCCAACACTCTGCACCATACATCATGGTCGGCCTAACCACCACTCTATAGAACTTACTTTTAAGTTCCGGGGGCACCTTCCTGTCATACAAGACGCCAGGCGCTAGCCTCCATTTCATCTACCCTACCCCTATATGGTGCGTGACATCCTCGTCAATCTCCTGATACCCTGGAAAACCGATCCCAGATACTTGAAGCTCCCTTTCATGGGGATGATTTGAGAGGCAAGCCTCACCTCCATGTCTGCTTCTCCCGACACGCCGCTAAACTTACACTCCATTTATTCTGTCTTAGTCCTGCTCAACTTGAAACCTTTAGACTCAAGAGTCTGCCTCCAAACCTCCAAGCTCTCATTAACACCACTTCGCGTCTCATCAATCAGGACTATAACATCGACGAATAACATACACCACGGCACCTCCCCTTGAATATGGTGTGTCAGAGCGTCCATCGCCAGAACAAATACGAACGGGCTAAGCACACATCCTTGGTGTAACCCCATAACAACCGGAAAATGCTCTGAGTCGCCCCCATTGTCCTAATCCGAGTCTTAGCTCTATCATACATGTCCTTAATCAGAGGCGGAACCAGGATCTTGGCAGGATGGGTGCACTATTAAGAAGGTGTGGATCCAGGATATACATTTTACATGTTCAACCTTTATTTCTTACTATTGCGCACCCGTTACACTTTTGAATTATAAGTTCAAAATTAAAACTTTAGAAAAAAATATTTCTCTTGCATCTATATCTATTATCCATGTTAAAAATATCGGGATCAGTTGAACCCATTAGTTATATGCTACATCATACAATGTTACTAGTTTTAATATACATATTTTGTTTAATCATATAAGATTTAACGGTGACAAAAGAAGAATAGAAATTTTAATGTGTGAAAATTTTGAAAAAATAAATCAAACAAAAAAAGAAATAAAAGAAAAAGTACTTAATTAATACGCAAAAAGTAACAAAAGACATGCTTATCTCTCGTGGGTATCTAGTTCTAGGGGAAAAAGAAAAGAAAAAATAACAAGATTGATATAAGATTTGACCTTGCAACCTCACTTAGAGAGGTAGACTCAGTAACTATTACATCACATAATACTTTGAGCATGGATGCACGCACATATATTTAAGTATTTTTTTTAAAAAAATATAACATTATTATACATGGTATTGGGAAGGGAGCATGGGTCCACGTGCCCCATGGAACCCCCTAGATACGCCCCTGTCCTTAATGACCCTAATCTAAGCCATCGAAACACCTTTCACCTCCGGACATTTGTCACGCCCCGAACCTGGGGGGCGAGACCGGCACCCGATTCCTCACCTATTATTGCGTACCAATTTGCGACTAAGGGCCTCTGAACATATAATGTCATACTTTGGCCATGAGCCACATTGCAAGACAATTTACGAAGCAAAATATAAAATTGAACGGAAATTAACGCTGACTAAACATTAATATAAAATTGGGCCGACAAGGCCGTGATAACTACTACAGCTGACAAACCAACAAAATATACATACAAGGCCTACAAGTCCGACATACTGCACTAACTGATAGGATATATCTACAAACCTTTACTGATGGATGTACTGTGATCGGAATAGGACCATGACCTATCCATAACCTATATACATATATAGACAAGATGTACACAAAACTCTAGACCCGACAACTCCGAAGGACGTGAAGCTAACCGATAAAGATGAACTCGGGCAGCACCTACTGATGAGGTCTACCCATCTGTCTGTCTGAACCTGCACGCATGAAATGCAGTGTCCCTAGAAAAGGGGACGTCAATACAAAATAATGTATCGAGTATGCAAGACAATAAAATAACTGAAAGCTGAACCGGAACTGATAATATAATAACTGAAAGTAACTGGGAGTCAAAAATGACCTGGACTTATACTTACCTGCTGATACTAACTCAACTCTCTCAATATAGTAAGTAAAATAAATGTCCGGCCCTATAAGGCTCGGAACGTGTAACTGCTCCGCCGTAGTAGGCTCGCTCATAGGCACTCAACCATACTAGGCTCTGTATCTCGGCAATACTGGGCTCGCTCATAGGTGCTCTGCCACAGTAGGCTCGGTATATAACTTACCATTTGATCAGAGGTTGCCCAATAGGAACCTGCCCATCGATTATAGCTCGATGGTGGTAACAATATTATAATACTGTATATATATAGACCCTCTGCTCTCTTGACTGGAAGTAGACAATATTTAACTGAACATAAAGTCCTGATAAGGGAAAATACTATAATTTATGAGACTAGGATAATGTACATAAGTTCAGGAATACGAACTTCTCTTTATGCCTCGTTATCAAACTCATGTAGTTACGTGATCATACCAAAATGAAGGAAGGGCTTAACCTTAACATACCTGGAGTAGGAAAAAATCCGTATGATATTCTTAAGAAAAATTGCACCGTACTCCCTTAGAATCGCAAAATCCCGTTGCTATTATAATATTGAGTCTTGTATGAATTTCCAAATCCCCTCACCTTTTCGTCCCTGGCTTTTCCCTTTCTATAACTCCCCCAAATGAATTTTGATATCAATTGAAGATAAAGTGTAAGAATGACTAATATAACTTCCCTTTCTACGTGTTTGTGTTTGTAAGGAATGCATGTGTCCTCCTAATTTAATTGCCTAAAGTCAAGAGTCACTATTAGATGAATGCATGTGTCCTCCTAATTTAATTGCCTAAAGTCAAGAGTCACTATTAGATGAATGCATGTGTCCTCCTAATTTAATTGCCTAAAGTCAAGAGTCACTATTAGATCTTTCTCCACTTGCTGTCACGTGGGGTTAATTTTCCATTAAACCAATAATTAATCAATTACTCACATAATTAAAAATTATCTCAAATTACTTAAAATACTACTTACTTTTAACACACTTTATGTATCCTATTATCGTGGTTATAGAGTACTTTGTATGGCACTAGTCCATAAATATCGGGTATTGTAGCTCGGGCCGCATTTTATCCCCAATCGACAACCTTCAACGAAACTCATTTTCTTTGATTCGTTTACCCTTTATCTTTCACGGCACTTACTTATGGCTTGTTATAAATAGCATAAATGCTTATAATCTCAATATAATCTCATCCTCAAATCTACGTCAATTAACTGAAGACGAAATTTTAACGTACGAAAACGCAAGATGTAACATCTCATAGACTTACCTCTGAAATGGAGTGGCTAAATACCACAATGTTAGGTGGTAATGTGGTCTTCAAATACCACAAATTTAATTATACGGTGAATAATGCAGGCATCGAAAAAAGGAAAAAGCCATCTTCTCACCTATCAGAAACTACAAAGGGCAAGTCATATAATCTACGTTGACAAACTCAAGAAAGGCTTTTCCCACATCAAAATTCTGTCATCAACTACTTTAACCCACTAGCAAGGATTTACAGGTGAGTACAATGGTAACAATGCCTTCAATAAACAACCTGCTAACACAGTCAGTATTTGGTTAATTATCTTATTCTCTTGAAAGAGGCAGTTACAACCATCTCATCATCTCTAATCCTTTTCAGATTTTCACTAGCCAAACTGCATACAAGTGGCTTATCTGAAATAGCTTTTTGAAAATCAACTTCCCTCTCTCGCATACCTGAAATTATACCAGAAACAACCATTCTGAGTAGAAATGAAGAGATACAACACTACTGCCCAAGGAATTGAGATATAAG